TTATTATATTTATATTTCGTTTAGTCGAAAGTTCATTTTTTGTTCCTGTAAGAAAGTTAGTAGATCCTACCAGTTGCAATATCATCTCATTCTTCTGATTTTGCGACAACTGAGACTTAGTGGCCTTTAATAGATTTTACTTCACTATTTATTATTTCCCGATAAAATAGTTTCTTATCTCTTATCTTTGAGAGTCACTTAAAATTATAAGAATTATTTGACTCACTTTTCTCGAGCTAACTTCATATTTGCTTCTCCAATATTCGCATATTATATTATAACTTCGTACTTTTTTCTATCCTTTAAAAAAATAAAATTATTGAAAATGATGGTTAACTCATTCGCAACTAAAACGATCAGGTAATGTGATAAAAAAAGAGGATTTTTTGATTTTTTTTCAATTTTAGCAAACAATTTTTTTTATTAAAAGCACTCGAAGAATTAATTTTAAATTACGAAGAAATTTTTACCAATAAAATTCGATTAAGAAAGATCGATTCTCGAAGTTTCGTTAAACAAAAAATTATTTCAGTTAAAGATAAACATTTATTAAACCAGGAAAGAGCCTAAAACTTTTCTTCGAGAGAAAGCGGCAGTTAATAGTGATATTTAAACTACCTATCTACCAGTTCATCTTGGATGACAATGCTGCAGTACTGATTATGGTTATTATCTACCACTATAATCCTGTTCATGTAGTCGTTAACTCACTGAAAAATTCTGCGATTAAATCGTTTCCTGACAGTCATGCATCCATCTATTGATTCAACATGAATAACCGTTCTTTCACTTTCATTTAAACTATTTATCAAAACTTTAGCATTTCTCGGATCTCTTTTGTTTACTGTTCAAACCATAAAATATTGCACATTTTATGAAAACAAACCGAAAGAAAAAAGGAAAAACAATAAAACAACTTTCAAATATTCTTTTAAATAATATTTATAAGTTTTAAAAGAATGGTAAAATTAATGGTAAAAATTATTCCTGATAAGTAATGCACTTTTTTATTTTCATATTGTCTTTTGAAAATATTGTAAAAGTAATTTTTTTATTTTTTACAAAAATGTTCAAAACTGTGAAAAATACTTAAGTGCCATGAAAATTTCATTTATCGTGAAAGAATTTTATAAAAGATGTCAACGATACTAATCCACTCATGTAAAGCTACATTTATCATACTGGAAAACATCAAATTAGTTGAGATGATAAAGAATAATTGTCCAACCACGGATAAACAATACGAAATTAAATATTCTAGTCTGAAGACGAACCCACCATATTACAAATAAAAACCGGTTCCTATTCTATAGTAGACGAAAGAGAGGAATAAAACGAATAGATTAAATTGAGACATCTCAACTTTGCAACGTATTTAGAAAAAATTTTCAATATTATGCACCCCATGTCATATTTTCTTGTTAAATTACTGTGGTACTTATCCGTGCGGAAGCATTAACCCTATAGAGGATATTAGTCAGCGCATAAATGTAGCTCTACCTGGAAAGAATTTCGGCTTTAAAGATAGCATTAGTAAAACTCTGAACAAAAAAAAGTATTATAAATTAATTGGAAGGCTGCGAGAAATATTTTCATTTAAAAAATGTTTAAACACAATACACCAACAAAATTTCTAGAAAAAAAGATAGCTTGAGGATAGCACTAAAGATATATAATACGAATAGGGGCAGAAAAGTTTGAACTGACGCCAAACAATATAAATTCGATTCGTGCTCTCTGGTGGTACGATTTTTCGACATTAAAAATGGTGGTGTGCCACTGACTCATTTATATACTTTTATCACCGAGTGATTCTCCCATCCCGTAGCATCCAATCAATTAATCAAGCTAAAATCAGCCGTTAGAAGAATATAAAATCAGCTTGAAGAATAAAAAGTAAACAAACAAAGAAGAAAATTTTGTGGAAACATTTCAACGTCTGAGATAAAAATATTGTAAGATTTCTAACGAGTACCAATAATTTTAGAAAATCAGACATTATATGAAGCAATTTTAAAATGATTAAACTGAAAAGGAAGTAACGTTATGAAAAAGTTTTCAACAATTTAGGGCATTCGAAATGGGCTTTTTGCACGATCAAAGATTATAGTAATGTATTCGTGGCAACAATGACAACGAATAACGAATAACAGTGAAAAGGGTGTTGCCGTTCGAAAATTGTAAAACACCATGAATTCGTTTTGTTAAACGGTTATACAAGTAACGCTTCATTATAGAGGATTAAAGGATTTAATGAAAAAAAGCTGAAACTTAGAACTTTGAGTTAGAAAAAAATTGCATTCCAAAAAGAAAACTATGGTTAAGTTTGCCCAGAAATTAGCCGAGGATCAATAAAAGATTAAAAAGCAAGTGGTGTAAAAAATGTTTCGAATAAAATAGGACCTAAACAAATGTTGGTGACTCCTAAAAGATCAATTGATCCAGCTGATACAACAAATTTTGAAAAGTCGCGCGCAATTTCGGAAATTCAACTGCTTGTAGCCAAAAGTCGTGAGAAAAAGTATTATCGGCAATGCCAGGATATATTTTTAAAAAATTTGATATAAATGGTAAATTGTGGAAATTAAAAGAACATATAAAAGCAATTTGGATATACCTGAAGAAAATATGTTCTAGCAATAAAGAAAAATCGAAGAAATCTAGATTTTCGAATTTAAGCCATAGCAGTTCGCTTGATAACAGTAATAAATTTCAGCAATTAGAATTTTAAATTAAGACGATATGAAATGATAAAATTTGCAAAATCGAAAGTATCATTCTTATCATCCAAAGTTTCCTCTAAGGCTTAAAGTTATCTTTTATCAGTAATATAAATTATAGTAAAATAATTGTAGTTAAAGCATGAGCTAAAATGGTTTTAAAACGATTGATAACGATAACAAAGAATATACTTTAAGCCTTAGAGGAATCTTTGGATGATAAGAATTTGCTAAAAATAAATGAATGCAAATAAATTTTTTTTCTACTGCCATTTCTACAATTAAAGGAAATTGTAACTTTAAGAAGCAAAACTTTCGAATCGACAAAATATATAATCCCGAGTTATGACCAGACGTGTTCAAATTCCTAATATAAAATATCTGAAAACTTATGTTTAACAAAATGATTCGAGAAAGATATAGGAATTAGTTTTTTAAAATTGCCATAATTTTATTTCTGTGATTACAATACAAATAGCAAGACGATATGCGAAAGATTCCAGTGGCAAAACTGACTAATTTGCTAGTTGAAGAATAAAAGCGACACTTTGTGCGGCGATCATTATAATGTGACAATATTGATAATATTAACTGGTAATTGATATAAACAAACAGCAGGTAATTCAAGTAAGTATTGGCAAGTAAGTATAGCAGGTATTGCTATCTACGAACAATGCATATATCCTATAAATTTCTTTATAATAATGATGACATTTCTCGATCACTTTCAGTAAGTCCATTAATCGCCCCGAAATAACTCAGACCACTTCCCAGAAATTGATTCATAATTATGGTATTACTTTTATCTTTTTCATTCAACCGTTATATCGACAAAATTGTTCAATAAAAGTCTCCAAAAAAAAAGAAAGAAAATTACCATCAATCTCATTAAAAGTAAACTATCTACGCTCTAAAAACGAGTTTGCTAATAATAATTAAGCGAAAAGGTTTTAATTATAATTGAATGCTCAATGTTAATTAGCTGCTGAATGTGGGATGAAGAAATTGAAATCTTTAAACTAAATTTCTCGTACAATCTGAATAATTTATCACAAAATAAAAATGGTTTCTTAAACTGATTCACTAAAAAAACCGCTTTGGAGAAGACATTTCAAATTGACTGTTTTACTTAAAAATTGATGTTGAATATTTCGTTGAAATCAATGAAGTCTAATGAAAATCTCGCGCAAGCAATGAACCAAGATAAGCAATTTAAGCAATTTAACAGATTTGCTTAACTAAAATGGGCTCGAATCTAAGTGGTTTTGAGGATATCCTCAAATGACACACCAGTGAAAGTACTCATCCTGTTAGCAAATGCAGTAACCAGAGATGGTGAGTAAAAAAAGGATTTGATGTGAGAGATCTTAGTCATGAGATAGTAGTTTTGCCAAAATCAATTCTTATCATTCAGTCGAACTTCTTCTTGAGCTCGGAATTACTAAAATATCAATAAAAATATCAATAAATCAGTGCAGTTAAATATGAAAAATTAATTGTACTACAACCGACAAGAAAAAGAACATAAACTGATCGTTATTAATGCAATTATTAAAATGGAGATAATCTAGGCTCAGCTCTTCCGTCTAATTTTGGCAAAAAATTACTTACCCACTTCGTTTTCTCGAACATTATAATCAGGCAATGATGAATAACTGGTTCGACTCGATACTGACGCACTTGATGACCTTTTGCCCTGTTTGAAACCTGATTCTACTGACCATAAAGGAATTCATCAAATAACAGACTGAGGTTCAATCAAACTTGTTAATGAACCAGTATAATAAAAAGGCGAAAAAGTAAAATAATAACTTATAAGTTTCAGTTTGAATTTTGGTTTAAAAAATTATTTATACTAGCAAAGATATCAAACTGTTTAATTAAATTGAAGTAAGTACAAGCAGTGGAGTCAATAAAATAACTGCTACTCTAGTAGAATATGCTAAGATCTGACTTTAACACTCTTTTTTGAGTTGCAACGAAATGCAGATGAAGCGCGCGACGATTGCGGAGATTTCCTTTCAGCTGAGGTAGATGAGCGATTAAGATTGTTGTGAACTCCAGAATATTTATCACCATTAACCATATTCATCCGCGACTGTAATTCTCCAGAATTTTCCGAAAATTTAACGAATGAAGGAAAGAAGGAAGAAAAAGAGAATTGGATTTTGTTACGAAGTTAATTTAAAACGCAAAAAGAATTATAAGAATTATCTATTGACATGTAAATATGTATATGTATGATATATATGTATAAAAAACTTATTTTTTTATACTTCACTAGCTATTAAAAATAGGAATAAATACCATTAAACATTCCTGCTGAAGGCTCATTTCAAATAAATGAGCTTTCTCTTGGCATGAATTGCGGCCACATTCACCATGCACATATATTATCGGTGCATTAGAAGCCCGTCGAAAAGAGACTTGCCCCACTGGAACATGGTGGCTTAAAGATAAGTGCAATCGCCTCCAGCTCATTGATCTAAAGGTTATTACAAAGATGTTACTCCTCATCGAAAACGAAATATATGATCAGTTAAACTTATTGATAAAGAGATGGCAATAGTATACAAAAAAAATCACCCAAGTTGCAATCGCCACAGCTGTGGTTCTTCGTGAGGCCGATCAAGTCGTTGATGAAAATAAATAAGTATTGAATCAGTAAGAATTATCAAACATTTATTCGCAAATTTGTTATTCGGTCGATGGCAATGCGGATCTGGATAAGTATTCAGTAGTCGAATCTCTCCTTTAGCAATACCAGAAATCGCTATACAGAGAATACTGCTTTCGAAGCGATTAAATAAATAAAGGCGATTTCGATAAATGAATGGATCACAAAATAGTGCTGAAATGTTCTGAATATTATTTAAAAAAATATATTATAAAAATATTATAACCACAATAAGTCAGATGATCGTACAAGATGGAGGTAACGTGTGAAACTTAGCTCTGATCTATCCTCTGATCTAATATAAAATGAACCTTTCTTGTCTTTAATATCAGGTCTAATTGTCAATATTGACATAGCCTTTCGGGAACAGTACTCAGCTAAATGAAGAAGTTCGATCTTTGGAACCACTGCGTGATTTTTTTCATGATACGAAAGAGGATATGAAATCAAAACGGGACCATTTTCATCATAGATTATTGATGTATCATAATGCCGTCTGAAAAAAAAAAGAATATATCACCCACAACTGATCCACAAAAAAAAAAATAGGCTACCAGACTATCCCATCGTTTTTCATAAAAACTGTTGACTAGTAGAATGGGAAATTATTATTTCCTTTTATAGTAATATCTTGAAAAAGTGTGAGTCTGATTTGACAAAGATTTTTACCAAAAATAATTTTAAAGCAGAAAGCTGTCGATTAGCCCGATAAGAAATGTGAATTAATTCATTAGCATTCCCTCGTAGGTTATATAAGGATTTTCATTTATCCATTTATGATGCTAATCCACATCCACATCTTTATTATTTTGGTAGACAAAAGTTATATTCATGTCCTACACATATTCTTTTGATGGTTTAATACCTACATGCGCCAATATACCGAGTATTACCAAAAAATTCACTATAGCCAACAGTTTAATGCAAAAGAAGGCAAAATATGTAAAATTTTGTACCTGCGGCATATTTGAGTTGATCGAATTGGATGAGAAATATATAAAAGACGACATTGAAAATATAAAGTAGCCTTTGTTACAAATAACATATTTTCAGCGTTTTCTAGCAGAATTATAACATCATTATCATTCAAAAAAGCAATATCTATCATCTGAATTAGATCTGTACAATTTAATCGACAAATTACTATTACTGACCATAAAATTTTAAAGCCATATTAGATTTTAATTATGAGAAATATTCCGTTTAAAATAATCTGGTTTCATAGTTTTTTCTTTAATTTTTAAATTATTGAAACATGTAAACTTGTAAATTTGAAATTCGGTCATTAGCAGTGCAAAATTGAAAATTTTGTAAAGTAGTCTAATTTGTACTCCATATTTTCTTGTACTCCATAGATTAATTTAAAGATATATTATTATATTGTACTCCATAGATTAATTTAAAGATTAAATTTTATTTTATTTATTTTATTGAGTTGGATTTTATCGAACTTAGTTCTGTTGAATATTGCATAAATTAGTAGTTCAAGAATTAGCAATGTTAAAGTCGGAAAATAGGCGGGGGGGGGGGGGGGGGGGGGTGGATGGAAAGGAAGAGGATTAATAATTACCGTATCATTTTCATGAGGTGATTCAATGCCATTTATCTGAAAGTCCATACATTGTGTGATATCCTCGGTGTTATAGAGATGTAGTGACCTATTGCCTTTTCTGAAATATGATTAACTTGAATTCTGATTTAACAACTGATCATATTTGCAATTTTCTAAACGCTCACTTGAATATTAAATGTTTTGCATTCGGAGAAACAGCCATAACTTTATATGCAGTTCGAACCCCCGTCAATGATCGAAGATCTTTTACTGTATCTGATGCGACATCCGAATCTGATTCTGTCCGAATGCAGATCATAGTACTCAAATCGACAAAACTTCTTGAAGATGATGCAAAATTTTTCTCAAAAGACATGGTGAAGAAAATAAATCCGAGAGAAAGATCTGCAAAATTCATGGATCAATTAAGAGAAAAAGATAAAGAATGCTGAAAAAAGCAATTACTTTCGTCAAAAATATTCGGCAAGTTTTTCTTCAAACTGTGTAAAAGTATCCTTTTCGGCTTTCAAAGTTATTCTGCAACCTATGTAACATTATTTTCCATGTGTGGACAAACAATGTTTTATAGATATTGAAAAGAAAATGGGATGGTTTATTTCTGAAGGATTTTACGATGAGATTCAAAATTTTGGAAGATTTTTTCTTCTGTCTTATAATGGCTATGATTAAACTAAGATTTTCCTTATTTAATAACCCAAAGAAAATGATTATTTCCATCATTTAAAATATACTGGTAAATATATTTATTTATTTATTTATTGATAGCCAGCCAAGTAGGGCGACAACGCCATGTGCTTGTATTAATAATAACAGTTAAGATAACAGAAAAAGAAAACACACAAAAAAAAAACATAAACAAAATTACTTATAAAATAATATGACAAAAGTTAACAATTTAAAGAGGAAATTACAGATCAATATAATATAGTACAATTCGAAGTAACATATATAACCTGAAGATAAAATCGAGATTTCTCACTTCCTACAGTTCTTGCCTGGTGTAAACTCTTCTCTTTTTTTTTGTTTTTAAATAATATCGTAAATGATATTATCTAGTCTTTTTTTAAAGACAGCTAGGGATGACGCACAAGCTACATCGTTTGGCAATTTGTTCCAGTAGTTAATAGTACGAATAAAGGAGTCATGAGTCCTTAGTTTAGTTTTGCATATAGGTTTTAGCAATTTTAAGCCATTAGTTCTTGTTGGATTCATATTTAGTCTAAAGTTATAATATTTCGAGCAATCTAGTTTAACATAACCATACAGAATATTATGTGTAAATTAAATTTTGTTTAATTCTACGAACTGAGAGAGAATCCATGTTATGTTGTAGTTATGCTCTTTTATAATTAAAATTATAATTTTTATTAGGAGAGAGGCGTCGTAGAAAATATTTTTGAAGTCCTTCAATTATTTTACCTGTTTTGCGATGTCTAGGGGAGTAACATGTAAAATTGTAGTCAAGAAGAGGCCTAACGAATGCTTTGTATAATTTGATAAGAAAACTTTCAGTTTTGTTCTTAAACGAACGAAAAATAAAATTTAGTATATAGAAGGAAGATCAAAGGATTTAGTATTAATGTACAATTCGAATTTCACATTTATTAGTAGAGAAATGCTAAATGCATGCACCACACAGATAAATAAACCAATTATGGGTTTGATTTTTATTCAGTTCCCTGAATTCATACAGCAAAATTATTCAAATCATGCTGAGGAGCGTTCAAATTGTCGGATATGTGAAAGATAATTTATCTCTCAGTCAACACCATATAAATATATATTAACAGATGAATTAAGTATGATCTCTTCAATACCATTAATATACATCAATAAGGTCAAAGGACCAGTGCGACTCCTTTAAGGCATTAGATTTATCGAAGATAAATACGCGAACACCTTGATAGCAAGCGCTTAGGTAATTTAAATGTCAATAACTCTTGAATAATCCTCAAGATCCTATTATATGAATAGTTATCAGAAACTTTTCTAAATAAACCGTATGGCCGCGATCAATTTATGTGAACCAACCATGCCATGAAAACTCTTCAGAAAATGATGATGGAATTCAGATTAATTTCACATATTAGTTTGTTAGTACTAAGGTAGTCAGTCATACAGCTTATTGCAGATGAGCGTTTATAATAAGTAATTTGCTGATAAATGCAACACTAATTGCTCTATATAAGAAGTTTCAACTTGGGAAAAAGCTCTTCATTCAAAAATATGTTCAAGAAATAAGAATAACAAGCATTTGCCACATCAGTTTCATCAAAAAATATATTTCAAAATAATTTACTCGTTCGGAAAAATTTTTATATAATTAGTTATAAGAAACGAAAAGAATTTAAAATTCTCTCTAATACAGGTAAATAGGTATTCGCGTGTTTCCGCGAAATTTTTTTAAAAAAGTATGAGTGCATACTATCAGTGCTCTTGACATATTTTAAGAACCTTCAAAAATCTTCTATGAATCTTCTTTGCACCTTTTTTGAATAGCAAAAAAAAAGCTGATAATGAAATATTATTCAATCCAATATTAAAAAAAGGAAGCACCTGTGACTCTTCTAATTATAGACCTATAAGCCTAACATGAGTTGGTAGCAAGTTACTCGAAAGGTTGATCTGCAAGCTGCTTACTTATCTTGATATCAATAATTTTATATCCTCTTATCGGCATGGCTTTTGTAAGAAAAAATCTGCTTCTTCGCAAATATTGGAATATTTCCGATTGGTCAGCATCAATTGACAATGGAAAAACAATATCAGTTGTGAACCTAGATTTGGCTAAAGCTTTTGATACTGTTTCCCATAGCAAATTATTGGTCACTCTTAATAGTTATGGCATTACAGGAGCTCTTTATAACTGGGTATCAGATTACATAAAAGACCATCACCAAGCCGTACTCGTCAACAACACTATCTCTGACACAAAACCTGTTAAATCTGGCGTTCCCCAAGGTAGTTGTATTGCGCCATTGCTTTTTTTATTATATATAAATGATGTAACTAATGTGGTGCTAAATTCTACTATTTATCTTTATGCTGATGTTTGTTATCCTCATGGTAGATCAGATAGCCTATCTCCACTGCAGAAGGACCTCAATAGAATAGCCAGCTGACTACATGAAAGGCAAATTATCCTTTCCTTTCAAAAATGTAGCGTTCTTCATATCAATTCTAAAGGTTTCAATTTTCCTAATCTTATTATTAATGGCAATATAATCAGTAGAGTCTCACACATTTCCGATCTTGGAATAATCATGGATGGAAATCTCGATTTTTACCTTCACTGCAGGGTAAAAAATTCTCAAAGATACTAAATTTTATTTTTCGTTCGTTTTAGAACAAAACTGAAGACTTTCTTATCAAAATGTACAAAGCGTTCGTTTGGCCATTTCTTGACTACAATGCTACATGTTAAGCGAGATATCGTAAATCAAGTAAAATAATTGAAGGACTCGAAAAATATTTTATACGCGCCTCTCTCCTAATTGCAATTTTAATTGTAAAAGAAAACTTTTACAATATAATCTGGATTCTCTGTCAGTTCGCCGTATTAAACAAGATTTAATTTATACTTATAAGATTTTGTATGGTTATGTTCAATTGTTAGATTGTTGAAAATATTATAATTTTAGGTTAAATTAAAATCCAACAAGAACTAATGGGCTAAAATTACTAAAACCTATGTGTAAAACCACACTAAGGACTCATTATTTCTTTATTCGTAATATTAATTTCTGGAATAAATTACCGAACGACATAGCTTGTGCGCCATCCCTAGCTATTTTTAAAAATAAAATAGATAATATCATTTATGATATTATTTAAAAAGTTCACATCATGTAGGAAGTGTGAAATGGCGATTTTTACCATTCGATTATAGTTATTTTGAATTGTACTACATTATATTATTTTGCAATATCCTCTTTATTTCATCTTTAAATTGTTTATTTTATTTCAATATTATTATTTTTTGTTATTTGTCATTAATTCTTATTATTTATTATTTTAACTGATGTTATTAATACAAGCACATGGCATTTGCGCCCTACTTGGCTGGTTTTCAATAAATACATATATAAATAAATAAATAATATAACAGTCAACAGTAAACGAATTAGCTAAGATTGTAGTCTTTCCGAGATAAAAAACCACTATTAGATTACTGTCAATAGAACAAGCAAGCATGAATCAATTATTCCTGCTTTGTTAAAAAATTATTCCTACCTTAGAAGAATATAAAGACCTTGTTGAGCAGCAATATCGAAAAAAAGTGTTATGTTACGCCAACCTGACAATAAGTACCTGAAAAATTTAAACCATATGACAAAAGAAAGCAGAATTTCTTAAATAATTTGGTCCATATTAAAACGAACTTTCCTTTTTCTGGTTCGTGAAAATTCCACGGAACATATGTCTGTATAGCATTAAGTCCAGCAGCCCTAATTCGTTTTAACCTGTCTTCCCAATAATCAGGATGTATTCGAAAGTAATGTATGCTTGCAGAAATGTATCTGTAAATATCAGTAAATAAAATATGCACAAAAGCTATTCTATAAAAAGGAATTAAATATCAAATATGAGGACTATTACTGTAGCCCAGTACAACTACAATAGCATTTGACTCATTCCAACTATGTCTTTAACTCTTTCAGGGCATTTCGGATGCGGATTTTAGTGCCAGGATGACTAAGAATTGAAAGCGCGAATCGAAATTTTAAAGGCAAAAATTTTCAATTTTCTGCTATATTCTTTTTTGATTCCTGCAATTCCATCATTTTAAATCTCTTCATAGCACTCTCAAACTTCATAGTCCCTTAACAGCATTCAACCATGTTATCTTATGCTATTATTATGCTTCTTGAGTTTTTTTTGAGTTTTGAGTTTTTTTTTTATAGCGTATTCTTTACCTTTTAACTGTGTTGTACCTCCTTGGCGCATCTTAAAGCCTGCCATATTTCTATTCTCTCTCTTCCCTAAAATTTGTATTGCCTTTTTGCCATTACTTATTGATGAAACCATTTTGAAATGCGCTATGCGCATCTCCAAACGTTTCTTCAGAATCTTTTATGGCTTGCTAACATGGTTTTCTCTTCTCATCTCCAATCCTGTTATTAAAAACTCATAGAATCTCGCTAAAATATTCTTCTTTAAATGCTTTATTCTACCACAAAAATTTCTTTTTTATCTACTCAAAATTTTTCGCTTTTGATAAGGACGTTCCATTTTCAATATATTAGTAATTTTATGATGCATTTATAAGGAATATAGAGTAAAGACATATATATATAAGCACTGAGAAGGTATATCGGAAATTGGAAAGTATTAAACTAAGGAAAATAAATAAAAAAAAATAAGGATATGAGGGAACGTTTAAAGGATATGCGACGACTTGAAGGTGTTAAGCTGATGTAGTTCAATGCCATTTTTTGAAAATTATTTGATATATTTGGTTATATTTTTGGTTCTAATTATTAATTTTACCATACTCTCTAATGAACTTAAATTTCCTTTTTAGGAGTAATTTTATTTTCCACCTAATAAGCAGTAAATAATACCTGAATGGCTCGCCATCCAGGAGAAACTGGTTGTTTTCAAAATCGATGCTGAATGAAGTATTCAAACTTTTTTCAGTCTTTGATAATGATAAAGCGAACTGATTACAAAGCAACCAGATAAATATGAATTGAGACATATCTGAAAAATTTTAATAACTATTTTAAATAAAAAGCCAAGAAATAACCGTTCATAATGGATTTGGAGCTTTATATTAAGCTTGAACAATTCATTATTTAAAAACTGAATTTCTCACTTTATGCGAGTATTGCTAATTGCTATAAGAAACATTAACACTAAACGATGAAAAGTAGGCGATAAAAATAGGAAAAAAGAAATGTACGATATTCGAGTCGTTTCGTCATGCTTATATTTCGGTTGATATTTTAGACATTCGCACTAGGTTCCCAAATTCCATCAGTTCTATTCTAGTTTAGGTCGGTTCACAATAACGCTAATATTTCATTGATTTCATCATTATCTGACCTGAATTTGGCCAACGAGAAACTGAAAAAATTCAAGAAAATTGCAAAATGAAAGAATCAATAGAAGAAGCAGATGGGTTTTTATAATAAATGGTTGATCGCAGCGGTAACAGTTGGTTAATTTGAAGAGGCTAAATCGGCTGGTGTATGTGGAAATCTCGTGGATACTACCTTGTGTTTATTCCACTTTTTAATTAGAAATTCTTATTTTCTTAAGGCGAAATACTATATTATTAAAGCATAATAAAATTTTTGTTTGAAAACTAATCTATTGAATATTCATACGATAATTTAGTTCCATGAATTTAATATGCATTCTGAAGGTCAAGGATACTTACAAGTAGTTCTTAAAGAGCAAAATTTCAAAAATTATCGTAATCAACACATTTTTGACTAGAATTGGTGGGAAAATTGCCTCAATCATCAACAAATTGTCATCATTTTCATCTTTTTTTATTGAATTTTATGAAAAATTTTGTTTTTTGCGGGATAGTAATATTAGCCAATTTCTTAGGAGTCTCAGTATATAGAGTTTGCCGCCGTTAAAAAAACGGTCATTTAAGGAGAGCGAAACTTATTTTGAGGATAAAACCAATCCAGAAGAGGCAAGGATGATAGAAAGGGATCGCATCGAGCGCCACAGATTCGATCCTCTTCCTCTTGACCGTCATAAAAAGTTTAGTTAAACATTAGTGAGATCAGCCAAAGCAGTAACGATAAAATGCTGTAAGAGAAGATAAGGAATCCTGTTCAAGTACCGTGTGCTAAAATGTTTTCATCAATGGAAGTAGGTTCATTCCGAGTTTCTCAGCGATAATTTCGTTACATGATTGCAATTTTTTAAGCGAATATTGGGAAAATATTTCGGAAACAAGTTTCTAAAATATTTTTGAAAATATTTCCCATTATATGACTGGCGGACCGATCTTGTTTTGCGTGTTTTGCGTTATTAGCGTTCCGTTTACGTAGTAAAATTGTTCAAGATGGTTTTCATAGTGTTTTGCATTAGTGTTTTTAGCTCGGGAATCACTGGATAAAATCTTGGTGGCACATTGATTTCCATTGGTGCTAAATCGAGTCAACAATGAATACATTATTACATTATGCAGTATTTCGAAAACAAATTCCAGGATCTTCAGTTCGCTTCAAGAGTAGATTTGTTGGTCATTCTTCAGCCAAATATCTATCCAAGGCTCCGTGGTTCAAAAACACTCGCCGCTATCTGTTTTTTTGCACTTTCATTTTATAAACTTGATGTTGAGGCCAGTAGAATGAAAGTAGCTGCATAGCACCCTTTTCTTTATATTAACCGGTTGTGACCATATTTAGTCGCATCTGCCTATTCTCTACACTTGGCATCAACGAGTTAACCAGTGAGATTTCGTTAGTTAGCCGAATGTCAGAACTCTTTGGGAAAAGATCGAGGGAAATCTTATTCTGTAAAATATCCAAATATTTTAGAAATTATCGCACATAATTTTTTCAGATTGATGGTACTTTCTGAACTAATTTTTCTTTGAGTTGGCGGCAACATCGTTTAAATGCTATAGAAGATAACTGTGCGCCAGATTTCCTAAAATTATCCTCACTGTAACTCGAAGCCAAAAATTTCCGGGAAGATGTCCTTATTTGATGATTCCTTTTGCGATATAATTCCGATTTTTGAAAATCGGTGCTGTTCTACTCGCTATGCTTTCTGGCCCATGCAAAGTCAACCAATTTACTTGCTTTACTGACTTGCTGAGTCGCGGAATATTCATTCATTCATTCTGCTCGCAGTTTCGTTCTCGTTTTAAACTGTGGCATTGAATTTCATAAATTTTTCTGTATTGTCAAGTGAGGTGCTATTCTTCGTGTAATTCCTCGCCGTTTCCTAGCTGTTTTCCAATATAATTCCAAATTTCTTCAGCGGTTCCTAGGTTATTCCCCTATTCCCTATTATTCTCGTGGAGTGTTGCCATATTATAATGCTATTTAGAGGTTTTTACGGCATTTCACTTACCTTCATATATTACCATTCTTATAATCCGTCGAATATAGATAGCCCTCTATGTTCGAAAACATTGTCCGAACGATTGGCTTTGCTAGGTATTTCGTTTCGCGTCATTCACTTCTCTATCTTCACAACTATGCTGTTCTCACATGTTTCGCGTCTTCCGCTTCCCGCGCATTTCTTCATGTATAAGTTCTCTTCAAAAACTACATTCTCGAAAATTCCTGGGAACTACTGCCTCAATCCTTCAAAAATTCTTAGAACTTCCTAAAAAAATCCCAGTGGTTCTCACAAAATTACCAGGGTCCCATTTATAATTTTCAATAATTTCTCTAAAAATCCCCAGGTATTTTTGAAAGAATTTGGAGAGGGGGTTTACCCACTATACGACCCCTAAAATTAGTTTCAGATATGACGTCATATATGTTATTCCCTCGTTCGTTGATCGATTTAGCTTTGCAAAAAATTAGACTCAAAAATTCGCCAACTGGCATTTTGCCAACGGTGATTCATTGATGTGTGAGAGAAAAAAACAACCTGAATAGTATGCGTTATAGTGAAAAAATTATATAAAGAGCACGGATATTGTAGAGAATTTGAGAGCGAAAGGGCAGAGATTCCTGTTATGTCTGGCTTGCAAATTCGTTGACATCACCGAGAGATTGTTTTTCCTTTCGCTGCTTCTTACTCGTCTCAGCCTTTCCGTGTTCTTTTTTCGTATGAAAATTTCATTTATCGTCTATATCTCCATTTTCGCGTGCTTTATTCATTATGAATCTTAATTACTCTCGTTATCAAGCATTTTGAAAAACACCGATTTTTCTTCGGGTTGTCGTTACGTCTATATCTCAGACTAAGTACGAAAATATGGCATTTTGGCGAGTTTCCAATTAGCGAACAGCTTTTTTGTGCGCCAAATGCGGCGATAATCGTCTGTTTCAGATTTTGTACCAGGTTGTACCGGAAATTTTAATCTAACAAATGACTACTATGTGACCTTTGACCTTGTCTTCTTCTTTTTATACGAAATATTAATCAACTTTTACAACTGCAAATATTTTATTGCCCTAAGCAAAACTGTATCGATTCTCTCTTTGATATCGCAAATAAAAGAAATACAAACTTGAGCCCTAACGCATTTCACTGTTTTTATTAGCACCAGTATTAGCACCAAATAGTTGATTTTTAGGTGACCTTCGGACCGAAAGTTGCGAAAAGCAAAATTTCCAGGGAAAATTACTGGTGAAAATGAAAAGCTACAAAAAAATTATAAAATAATGCGTGATAAATTTGATAATGTGCGAGCAAGATCTGTAAAATATAAAAAATTTTTACAGCAATTGTTTTTACAGTTGAAATATGTGTTCAACAATTCTTCATCTTCTAACAGCTCTCACCATTGCTGGTTAAACTGGCTCGGTCTACTGGCTAGCTACAAAAGTAAGACGTTTCCAAGTGGCGCGGTCCGACGCCATCGCTGTTAGAAGTATAAGCCACTCCTTTTTCCATCATCTAAGTCCGTAAATCGCTGGCCCCCATATACGTTCACGACATATTAACTATTGAACAGGTGATTAACTTTGGAAGGGTTGGAGCTTAAGGGAATTCTCGTGGATAAATGGATGGACGAGGTGCTAGAATTATGTATTAGATTACCATGTGCAGAGGTTTTACCAGTGATTGGAGTAAACGTGCCAGTTGACCTGTTTGTCGCCAAGTGACTCTGTCACTGCTAAGCGAATTATTAGCAGCCAGCGAGTTTTATCAAAGATCGCCGAAATTAGCCATTTTGCTTAATGAGCAATCGATCGAGGAAAATAACAGCCTGGCTTGTATTTCTTGTATTTCAGTTGCTTATTTTTCTTAGGTTGAATTTTAAAAATGCATCATGGATCGCGCTGTTCATTTCGTTCTCTCTTTTCATCTTAATGCTCACTGATTTTTATAGATTCGACCTCTCGACCTCCAACCTTTTGTAGTTTTCACCGACAGTCAGTTAAAGTTTCGAT